GTATGCATGGATGTGGTAAGAAGGGATGTGGTAATCAAGGATGTGGTAAGCAGGGATGTGGTAATCAAGGATGTGGTAAGAAGGGATGTGGTAATCAAGGATGTGGTAAGTATGCATGGATGTGGTAAGAAGGGATGTGGTAATCAAGGATGTGGTAAGCAGGGATGTGGTAATCAAGGATGTGGTATGTATGCATGGATGTGGTAAGAAGGGATGTGGTAATCAAGGATGTGGTAAGCAGGGATGTGTCAAGAAGGGAAGTGGTAAGGAAGGAAACTTCAAAATGAAGCATCTGGCCTGTCTCAGATCAATTCCTGTCCCCTTTCCCACATATCTTTCTACATCAGAAGCACATCAGTGCACACACACGTTCACATCTGTGCGCACACCTTATCCACCTTGGGCGGCCTCTTCTTCTTCTCCTTGGCTGGCTTCTCTGGAATGTAGTCATCATCATTCCTGTCATCTTCCAATGCAGGATCTTCTCCTTGAGACTCCTGATTTCAAAAGATAAAACAATACAATCAAAACATATACTTTTAAGTATTTAAGAATTATTTAGGTAAACTTTAAGTAATAATAAAGAAGGGGTTTAAGATTAACTTGAATCTGAAGACAGAAATATGATATGTTACATTTTTAAATTTCAAATTTTAGTAAAAATGTTTTCAAGATCACACATGGGTGATCATTAGGACCAGGTGGCCATCAATTTTTATTTTTTTTCCAAAATATCTTAAGTCTTCTTTTATTCTACTGACCTAGAGCAGAAAGAGTGGCCAGTGTTTACAAATGTTTATGATGCCCAGTTTTCATTTTACTGCCACATGAGATCAGTAGAAGCACTGCAGGCAGGACAACATTCACGGAAAAATTTACATTCATTACCTCCTCAAATTTACAAGTTCATACCAACTGACTCAGATTAAGCATTTGAAATTTGTTATAGTTTCTGTATCCAAGACTGGAACAAATATACTTTGCAGCTGACTAACATTTATTGTACTGAAGAGGACCCAAATCAGTTGATCCCCTTCCCTACAGTACAAGACGTACCTCCAAGGTAACATCCATGGAGGCCACTGACTCATTGCCTCCATCTCCAATATCTACCTCCTCACTGGCACTCTTGCCCTTCTTCTTTTTCTTGGCTTTTTTCTTCTTTTCTGATCCATCTTTCATCTTTCTTTTCTTGCCCTTCTTGTTTTCAAGCACTATTTCAAGGGCACCCTCATTATCATCATCATAGTCTGTGGCAATAAAAAGAGAAAAATGTTAAATGTGTTCAGTGTCATACTTACCAGAAATGTGTTTACAAAAGGTAAAAAAAAAAGTATATGTGATTGTCAAAAAAAGTAAGGTATTAAAGGATTATTGACAGGGCCCTTCATATTGCAAATTATGTTGAGGTTTGAAAATGCTGTACTTATTTCCAAGACAGTTTAACTTCAAAGTCTTATATGAGAGGGCACATCTACACACATCTTATGATAATCTTGAACTATATCTTAGCTAGAATCTCTTTCAAAACCTCTTTCATTAAAAATGTGAAACCTACAACAGAAATCATAATGAGCATGGGTGCTGCACACATAATGTGAAATAAAACAGAAGTTCCAGAAGACAACTGTAGCTGTAGTAGGTGTCTGTTCTGTCACCTCATCACTGCACACAATAATACATTCACAATTGACGTACAACAGTTGTTCTAATTGAATAGAAAGTTATATACGGTTGGAAACAGTTGTATATAAAATAACTGACTGAAATATGCCACTACTGCTCTAACTACATACAAATAAAGCATTCAAATCAGACATACTGGCTATTACAACATTTCTACTTTAGAAACCCCTGATATCACAGGACAACATTTCCACCTGCTGAGAATAGCAGACATTGCAAGATAACAGAGAAATACCTGGTCCTTCCACGACATTGAATATACAATATTTAACAACTTTTTATAATTCTCATTTTGCCATAAAAACAGGGGCTTCCCCAAAGAGGACAAAAAGGACAGCAAATCCTATCCCTGTTGTGACTACATGCTCACTAATTATTTGACAACAATGTGCTGTAAAAACCTGCTACTGACATGGATCTGTAAAAAAACATGTTCAAAATATAACCTTTTTACATAATGATCTAAAATGAACATGCCAATACAAGACAACACTTAAAACACCAACTATTAATATTGTAAGACTACCATGCAGTTGACTAGACTTGTGTTACCAAGCAAGATGGACATCTAGGACCACTGCAGCATGCAGCTGATGGCTTTCATTCTGGTGCAACATGGCAGGAAAACTTGAAGATCTTCAATATTGCTTTTGTTTTTAATCAATATTTCAGAATTCACTGATCACCTTAACCAACAAACAGCAGGCAGTCTGAGACTTAACGTTCTATGGAGTGAAATTGATTTATATCTTGGTCCAGAAAGGCTATCAATAAGAGAATTGATAGCAATATTTAATACAACTATGACTGACGACAATAAAAACAAAGGATTAAATAAGACTGAAAACTTAACATGTAGGCTTTTGTGGTTCATTAATTCTATTAATTAAAGAGGCAGAAATAAAAGTTAATTTTCTGCTACTAACAGAAAGCTGTCTGGGGTTGATTTTGAGTATGACTGTGTTGTTTGTTGTGTTGTTATCCTGGCCAGCAATGACCTCTGGGTAACTGGTCTGCTAGGACAGAAACAACAAATAAAACACTTCAATCCCTATTCAATAGGACATGAAAGAAGGCCGATTTCTGAAAATTGGAGGTGATCAAATGTTTCTGTCATATTATATGTGTTAGCTGGTTGTCTTCCTGCCATCTTCACCACTTCACACTGCAGCTAGTTCCTGGGAAGCAGCTTCTCTGCAGAATTTTGTCTGGTTTAACTATAACCACCACTGGCAGCATCATTAGATCTCTTAAACCACATTCAGATTCACACAATGTACTAGCTGGGTCAATCCCACTCTGTGAGGGATTCTCGCTGAAGTGCAGTTGAACCAGCTTAATTGCCTGACGCACCTCCTCAAGCAGCTTGGGGTAATTACTTATTGTGTGCTGATTCCACCGACTGCATTTTAGTGAAGATCTCCTGCAGAGCTAGTACAATGTGTGAATCTGAATGTGCTGTTATATTCTATAGGTTATCAGACGACCTGCAGAGAAGTCAATGACCATCAACTGCTCGGTGAACAGCACATTCAACCATGCAAAGGCTGCTGGCACTTCAGTACCTACTTACTCTGTGAAACCTGTGTGTCTAGCTCAGGCACTGCAGGCTCCAGAAAGTCATTGGGAGAGGTATCAGTCTCTGAGGGGGCTGTCATAAGAAGTGGACAGGAAATCAGAGTATTTCTACTTAACCAGAATTATGGTATAACTAGGTGCAAAGAGGGTCAAGAATATGACTGGTTTACAAATGTCACTGAATGAACAATTATACCATAGCTAGGACTTCAAACAAGGGGGTAATTGCACTTGTATTTCCCATACAGACTTACCTGTATTTTCATACACTTCAATGTGTTCATCCTGTTGTTTTAAGTGCCAGGTTTGTTTGAAGTGCCAGTATAAGTCAGTTACATATAATCCTCTCCTGTATGCAACAAGCAAGAGCAACAATATCCTGGCCATGCCTTGATATAATTATACTCTTATATGTCGCATACAGTGGATGACTTGTTTTTGTAACTTGTTCTTATCATTAGTATCTAATGTTCGTTTTAAAAAATATGTGAACTGCAACTCGACCAGCTTTACATAGGCAGTTGAATAAACCTGAAGCTGAACCCTTACATTTTGCATGCAGAATAAACATTTTGTCTGTATCTTGCTAAGTTTCAATTATAAAGTTTAAAAAACTGCGTATTTGATCAACAATTATATCATCAAAAGGCTCACAAATTATCTGCCATAGGTTACTGAATGCATCTGCATAGCAGATGTTTCAAACTTGTGTTGGTAGAGCAAAGGCATCTATTCTCTAATCATGTTGGAGATGAGGTTTCCTGTTGTATCATATGAGGTTGTTCTATTTATCTGTGGCTGTTGCCAATACTGGATGTGCACTTGTTTCATTTACCAACAAAGACCAAGAGGTAGATTTGGTTTGGCTTAAATTGGTGAAGGAAAATTTGAAATTGTATTCCAGTCATGTGACACACATTTCTCTCCTCAAAACAAACAGTACCTGTACTGAAATACCTCTAATGCCTGCCATATTGAAGTAATTTCCAGAATATATGCTGGCCTCAAAAATGAGTAACACTGTCACCAGGTACCCAGTATCCATTAACTAACATTGTCTACATCTACTGTAAAATTAAATATTCAAAGAGAATGTGGTGGAATTTGCAAAAAATTGCCTTTTCTTTTTCCATCCATCATTACTTATCATAAGAAATGTGTCTCCAGTATTTATATCTATAATATCACAATATTTTTTAAATAATGACGTACTTGGAAAAAAACATGTAAATTTCTCATAAAATTAATGAAACTAAGACAGTTTAAGGGGGGAGCAAAACTGCAAAAACATTTCCAGATTTTATTAACAATGTGTACAAAGAAAATATTGAGTTAAGTAATCCAACGTTTATTAGTTACATCTCTCCCTAATGCTTTGTTGATGACCTACTTAATACACAGTGCGCATGCGCAATAGCACCTGTTCCTGTTAATATATAGCTTAATATATATCCCATGAAAATATACATTAACAAAGAGATGCAAAAAAATCAACAATTTTTTTCAGCTGCAATTTCACAAGACTGTCTTCATAAAAAATGATCACTAAAGACCTGTCTGAGTCCTAAATTTACTGGGAAACCCCTCTATTTTAAGGGATTTTCTACTTGACAGGCTCTCATATGCAAATGAACAAAGAAGCGTGCTTTCGGAATCCCCTTTTTGTTTCGGTTGAAGTTCGCTGAATTTCAAAACAATTAGCAATACAGCAGCTAAAATACATTCTGATCGTTAATAATAAGCTGCTCGCGTTTTAAAGTCACAAACAAAGCGGTTGATTGTTAATTAGCAGAATTGTTCTTTATCAAAAAGACGAAGGGGATTACTTACCGTCCATGGGATTATCCATATCTGCTTCCTCTGCCATTTTTCTTCTCCTCTGTATCGTTAACTGAATAAGGTCAATCACAGATTCTTTATCTTTGATTTGAGATCATTGACGGCACATATTATCCGACAGAATCAGTCCGATCGATCAATTTCCAATTGATGGGAGGGGGAAAATGGCCGCCGTTTGCTTTCAACCCCCAGTGACACGCATTAGTGATTACGATCGTCTTTGTCATGCGCAGTGCGGCGGCATTAATTGATTAAGGGATCTTCATATGATTAAAATAGTTAAATGGCATTTATTTATGCCAAGAGCAATATTTTGATTTGGTTTGTCTCAATTTTTAATTTGCCATTGCATTTTTGCAAGGGTCAATTAATGCAGAGGTCAATTAGGGCCATGCAAATAACGTAAATTTGTGCAAATCATATTTGTACCGTGGCATATGATACAGATGTATCAGAATATTAAATTTGATGTAGAGAAAACCCTAAGTAATACCCGCTGTCATAACATATAAAGGTATATATTATAGAGGCACCTACACATTTGCAGGTGTGATGTGACTATACAGACTGCCCATATATGGGCATATTTGTAATTAATCAAAGAATAAAATTAACAAATTACAAACATGTACCTAAAGAAATGAGGATTTAACTGAATATGAAAAACTTAGCCTTGGAGATTTCCCTCTTAAAATTGCAGTTTGAGATTATTCAAACATTAATCAGTTTTTATAAATTACATTCTTTTGCATAAATCACACATCATTTGCATAAATCAGGCACCTGATAAAATGGCATCCTAATGAGAATTTTAATGCAAATGATTTCTTCAACGAAAAATAGGCAGTTTCCTCCTATTCATGAAGCTTGACCTGTAGCTGTCCCCTGCATGATTCAATTGTGATGTTTTATACTGTTTTTTTATTATGTAATTCATTTCTAAATGACTGACCAGCCATGCTTATGTAGACTTACATGTGTTCTTATATTTCTTTTGAATTAAAAAAGACAGTGTAGTCTAAATGAACCATTACTGATTAAGATCTAAATCATTTTTTACTAAGAATGACACAAAACGTCCANCGCGCGCAAGGTTATTGCCTGACGCACCTCCTCAAGCAGCTTGGGGTAATTACTTATTGTGTGCTGATTCCACCGACTGCATTTTAGTGAAGATCTCCTGCAGAGCTAGTACAATGTGTGAATCTGAATGTGCTGTTACATTCTATAGGTTATCAGACGACCTGCAGAGAAGTCAATGACCATCAACTGCTCGGTGAACAGCACATTCAACCATGCAAAGGCTGCTGGCACTTCAGTACCTACTTACTCTGTGAAACCTGTGTGTCTAGCTCAGGCACTGCAGGCTCCAGAAAGTCATTGGGAGAGGTATCAGTCTCTGAGGGGGCTGTCATAAGAAGTGGACAGGAAATCAGAGTATTTCTACTTAACCAGAATTATGGTATAACTAGGTGCAAAGAGGGCTAAGAATATGACTGGTTTACAAATGTCACTGAATGAACAATTATACCATAGCTAGGACTTCAAACAAGGGGGTAATTGCACTTGTATTTCCCATACAGACTTACCTGTATTTTCATACACTTCAATGTGTTCATCCTGTTGTTTTAAGTGCCAGGTTTGTTTGAAGTGCCAGTATAAGTCAGTAACAAATAATCCTCTCCTGTATGCAACAAGCAAGAGCAATAATATCCCGGCCATGCCTTGATATAATTATACTCTTATATGTCGCATACAGTGGATGACTTGTTTTTGTAACTTGTTCTTATCATTAGTATCTAATGTTCGTTTTAAAAAATATGTGAACTGCAACTCGACCAGCTTTACATAGGCAGTTGAATAAACCTGAAGCTGAACCCTTACATTTTGCATGCAGAATAAACATTTTGTCTGTATCTTGCTAAGTTTCAATTATAAAGTTTAAAAAACTGCGTATTTGATCAACAATAATATCATCAAAAGGCTCACAAATTATCTGCCATAGGTTACAGAATGCATCTGCATAGCAGATGTTTCAAACTTGTGTTGGTAGAGCAAAGGCATCTATTCTCTAATCATGTTGGAGAGGAGGTTTCCTGTTGTATCATATGAGGTGGTTCTATTTATCTGTGGCTGTTGCCAATACTGGATGTGCACTTGTTTCATTTACCAACAAGGACCAAGAGGTAGATTTGGTTTGACTTAAATTGGTGAAGGAAAATTTGAAATTGTATTCCAGTCATGTGACACACATTTCTCTCCTCAAAACAAACAGTACCTGTACTGAAATACCTCTAATGCCTGCCATATTGAAGTAATTTCCAGAATATATGCTGGCCTCAAAAATGAGTAACACTGTCACCAGGTACCCAGTATCCTTTAACTAACATTGTCTACATCTACTGTAAAATTAAATATTCAAAGAGAATGTGGTGGAATTTGCAAAAAATTGCCTTTTCTTTTTCCGTCCATCATTACTTATCATAAGAAATGTGTCTCCAGTATTTATATCTATAATATCACAATATTTTTGAAATAATGACGTACTTGGAAAAAAACATGTAAATTTCTCATAAAATTAATGAAACTAAGACAGTTTTAGGGGGGAGCAAAACTGCAAAAACATTTCCAGATTTTATTAACAATGTGTACAAAGAAAATATTGAGTTAAGTAATCCAACGTTTATTAGTTACATCTCTCCCTAATGCTTTGTTGATGACCTACTTAATACACAGTGCGCATGCGCAATAGCACCTGTTCCTGTTAATATATAGCTTAATATATATCCCATGAAAATATACATTAACAAAGAGATGCAAAAAAATCAACAAATTTTTTCAGCTGCAATTTCACAAGACTGTCTTCATAAAAAATGATCACTAAAGACCTGTCTGAGTCCTAAATTTACTGGGAAACCCCTCTATTTTAAGGGATTTTCTACTTGACAGGCTCTCATATGCAAATGAACAAAGAAGCGTGCTTTCGGAATCCCCTTTTTGTTTCGGTTGAAGTTCGCTGAATTTCAAAACAATTAGCAATACAGCAGCTAAAATACATTCTGATCGTTAATAATAAGCTGCTCGCGTTTTAAAGTCACAAACAAAGCGGTTGATTGTTAATTAGCAGAATTGTTCTTTATCAAAAAGACGAAGGGGATTACTTACCGTCCATGGGATTATCCATATCTGCTTCCTCTGCCATTTTTCTTCTCCTCTGTATCGTTAACTGAATAAGGTCAATCACAGATTCCTTATCTTTGATTTGAGATCATTGACGGCACATATTATCTGACAGAATCAGTCCGATCGATCAATTTCCAATTGATGGGAGGGGGAAAATGGCCGCCGTTTGCTTTCAACCCCCAGTGACACGCATTAGTGATTACGATCGTCTTTGTCATGCGCAGTGCGGCGGCATTAATTGATTAATGGATCTTCATATGATTAAAATAGTTAAATGGCATTTATTTATGCCAAGAGCAATATTTTGATTTGGTTTGTCTCAATTTTTAATTTGCCATTGCATTTTTGCAAGGGTCAATTAATGCAGAGGTCAATTAGGGCCATGCAAATAACGTAAATTTGTGCAAATCATATTTGTACCGTGGCATATGATACAGATGTATCAGAATATTAAATTTGATGTAGAGAAAACCCTAAGTAATACCCGCTCCGCTGTCATAACATATAAAGGTATATATTATAGAGGCACATACACATTTGCAGGTGTGATGTGACTATACAGACCGCCCATATATGGGCATATTTGTAATTAATCAAAAAATAAAATTAACAAATTACAAACATGTACCTAAAGAAATGAGGATTTAACTGAATATGAAAAACTTAGCCTTGGAGATTTCCCTCTTAAAATTGCAGTTTGAGATTATTCAAACATTAATCAGTTTTTATAAATTACATTCTTTTGCATAAATCACACATCATTTGCATAAATCAGGCACCTGATAAAATGGCATCCTAATGAGAATTTTAATGCAAATGATTTCTTCAACGAAAAAAAGGCAGTTTCCTCCTATTCATGAAGCTTGACCTGTAGCTGTCCCCTGCATGATTCAACTGTGATGTTTTATACTGTTTTTTTATTATGTAATTCATTTCTAAATGACTGACCGGCCATGCTTATGTAGACTTACATGTGTTCTTATATTTCTTTTGAATTAAAAAAGACAGTGTAGTCTAAATGAACCATTACTGATTAAGATCTAAATCATTTTTTACTAAGAATGACACAAAACGTCAATTACAAGTGCAGGGCATGGTAATCAAAGCAATGATTTTATAAAAAAAAAAATTATAAGGAGTGTTTTTCCCCCTTTTTTATTTGGATAGAGTAATTTGACAAAATAATATCCTGGATATACAATACCTTTAAATACAATTAAAAAGATTGATTTTACACCTTATTTCACCAAATTACATTTTTTCTTTGTCCAGATCATTTAAGAAATAACTGATTTTTGTCAAAAAATATTTTACAAATTGCAATTATGATACTGATCACTTTCTTTTTCAACATCAAGTTAAAAGCAAAATAGTTTCCTTATATTGTGCATTGCAAAATGAACTGAAATGTATTGAATGAAAGCCTCAGATTTTTGTTGAATATCTCAATTGCCAATTAGTGATCTAATATGTGAATCATATATTCTTTGAAAGAGAGCAGATTTGTTTTGATGAACAGTTACTGATATTGTGCAATAACAAAAGTAAAAATTGTTTTTACTATATTTTGACTACATTTGATCTTGAATATTTTCTATATACATATTAAAAAGCATTATATTTCATCTGTTGGTCTTTAATTCCTCAAATACTAGCATTGGCAAACTATATGCTGGTAAAATGTCTCTTTTCTCGAAATACATATAGTTCTTCCTGTGTTTCAAATAATAAAAGACAGCAATATGAAACATCTGTGTTACTTTGTGTTGCTATATTTTACTTTCATTTTTTAAGTGTTCAGAGCCAACTTCTCTGGGCCAGTCACATATTGATCTTAGTGCCATCTAGCGGTCACATTATGTACAAACGTGAAAGGATGACCTTGCACAGCACGGCACTTGCAATAAATTACCTGGGGAGGAACAGATAAAACATCGTACTATGTCGAGGTGATATCTGCAAAAGAACACTTTTTCAAAGACTGAGATGTCGCCTTATTTATTACGGATTTGTCGACTTCTTCCTCCATCTCTCCGCTGCGGTCCAAACAGAGCGTTCCAAATATGTGCAGCAGTTGTGGTTATTTATATCCTATACAAAATTTCAGGTATATCCCGCGGGGAGGACGAAGTAAAAACACACATCGCATCGGCTAGTAGTCAAGAAGGGGGAGGCGCGATGCACCATCAACCAGAAGAAACGCAGAATAAAGGTTTGTTTGCGGTCTTCTTGTCACTTTATGTAGTGTGTGTGTGTGTGGGGGGGGGGGGGGGGGGGAGAGATGTGTGAGAGCTGTGAGTATATCTTTTAAAAATAGAATTAGTACATGTTGAAACTAATATATATATTCACAAGACAATTGATCAGTCATCACATCAGTTAATTTTGATATCAACTTTAAAAATTAGAGTTGTAGGGTACGTGGGAGGGGAATACTGCATACACATTATTGTAAGCACTGAGTACTGAATAGAGTCTGTTGTAAACAGATATTTATGTTAAAGTTTATTTTTATCTTTATTTGCTCTCTGTCAGGAGTAGAACCAGATATCCCACCAGGAAGCACAGAAGAAATGCTCAGATACATTTCCAACAACCTTGATGTGTACTATGAAGTGGTGGACAATACTGGGACCATAGATGACATTGATAAGGCAATTCACAAGGTGCAGGTGACACTGACCAATGAAGGTGAAGCTACCATAACTGCTACTGGGACGTGGTCCATTTATTTTTACATGGTGTTCATGCTACAGAATAAACAGTGGCCATACCCAGAGGGATATGTGATCAGAGGATCAGGATTCAAGTTATATCATGTTGGAGGGCACCTGTTTTGTTTAACACCTTTAACAGATACTAAGATCACGCCAGGTGAGAAGGTGGTCATCAAGCTGGATTGTCAGGCATGGTCTGTAGCTAAAACAGATGTGATGCCCAACTGGTAAGTGCAAGCCATGGTTAGCATATTAAAGTCCTGCTGTATGTTTTTATTCTATTTTTTTAGTTTGCATATCTAGGTTTTAAAAACTTGGATTCAATTTTCCTTACAGAGGGTACTCCATCCATGACAAGTCTAGTTCAGGTTTTAATAAGATTAGATTGTTTAAGTATTAGTATTATGAATGTTAATGTGATCTCTGATGTAGGTATGTGACAGCTGAAGGACATGAACCACAGATTATACAGTGCACAGCTGGGGAGACCCTGGCATTTGTGGCCCCTTTCAGCAGACCACAGCAATACAAGCGTTTAAAACAGGACCAGTTTAACCCCTTCACCCCTAGCCAGCGCTACGAGAAGAATGACAAAATAAAATATAGAAAAGACGGGTTGCTGCTGGTGATCCCCACCCCTGTAGAGTTGAGGGCAGACAGAAAGAGGCTGATCAGCTTTAAGTATCAAGACTGGGTGCTAGCCATGGATAAGGAACTAGATGTTTCAGTCTTTGTTGGTAATTGAGTCACAACAGGTTCCTTGTATAGTATTTTCTAGAAACAAAATAAAAGAAAAGAATGTCTGCTCATTTAAAAAATGGTGGATAAATTGTTTTTTTGGTGATAGTTTGTTCAAGATGACTGTTGTTTAATTTTGACTTTGGGACTTCAACTGTTTGGACTTGTTTACAAATTTCAGACATTTAGTGTAAAATTAAAAAAAAAAATAGCTACTTCTTAAATTTAATTTAATTGATCCCAACTTGCTGCTGTAGAAAACTTTTCAAGGGTTTATTTTAATAAAACAAACACATTTCTGTCATATGATCAATAAATAGGTTGGTTTTGTGGTTAGTGGATCATGACTATAACTAATGTGATCACTCCATGTTGTAGACAAACTGAATGAGATGGGTGTGAAGTTATCCTCGGGATCTCCTCCAGCCACTAAAGTGATCAGGGTTGCCCAGGGAAGTGTCAGCATCAAACTAGATGGCAGGGTGGTGGAGAATCACCCAGAATCCTACAGCCTCACAGTAAATGGAAGGCTGTCCAGAATTGACATAGTGGCTCCTGCAAGTCCAGGGGCTTTTTATGCAATGCAGAGTTTATTTGCATTGATGAATGAAGAGGGGGCCGTGCCACACATTGTGATGAAAGACGCACCTCGCTTTATACACCGTGGATTAATGCTGGATGTGGCAAGAAATTTTTTTCCGCCAGAGGATCTTTATCCAGTCATGGAAGTGATGGCCATGTTTAAAATGAACAAACTTCACCTGCACCTGTCTGATGATGAAGGCTGGAGAGTTGAAATTGAGAAACTTCCAGAGCTGACTGAGGTGATTGGTTGCCTTTATTTTATTATTATTAATTTTTTTATAATTTCCTTTGGTCATCTACAATGTGATATCAGTTATCAGCTGTGCTTAACAGCAACAACACCACCCCTCACATTTTAGGCATATACGACCAAAAACCAATGCCTGATATGCATTGTTTCTGACAAAATTTACACATCTTGTTCAGTGTTTTGGGTAATCTTCTACAAAGGAAGAGTAATTTGCAACATTGTAGTGACAGATGTAAGAGAAATAACATAAAGGCTCGAACAATCATTCTATGCAGATCGATCCAACTCCATGGGGACTCTTGCTGAATGCCATCAGTTGAACAGATTAACATACCTCCTCTTGTTTCCAGCTTTAGAGTTTTTCATGAAGTTTGGTAACATAGTTGTTTTCTGGAAACTGTCTGATTTTTTTAGATCTATCATTATTGCATTTTGAAAAAAACACCACAGTGCAACACAGTAAAAATCTTTCAGTTCAAAATATGGAATTCCTTAGTTATAAAAGCAATAAAGGGTTACTTAATTTCAAATCCTATGAGAAGTCGGGGGGGATGAGGGATATGAAGTATGAGAGAATGGAGTTGCTATTATTTTAAAGCTACACTTGATGCAAGTCTTGGTTCATTTCTCACTGTAGATAGGAGGGCGGAGAAGGCATGACCTGTCTGAGAAGACGGGCATCCTTCCACAGCTGGGCTCAGGACCACATGACATGTCCAGTGGATCAGGCTATTACACAGCCTCAGACTACAGAGATATACTGAAGTATGCTACAGATAGACACATTGAGATTATTCCAGAGATTGACCTGCCAGGCCATGCTCATGCTGCTGTCAGGGCTATGGAAGCACGCTATGCAAGATTGATGAAGGCAGGAAAGTCCGAAGAAGCAGGCAAGTGTGAGAGTATGGTCTCTAAGTACTGAGCTGGAGCTGAGAGGTAGCCTGACTTGTGTCATAGCTTATCTTTGTGTTATCTTGTGATCACATGATGAACATTACATCTGTTTTCAGTCTACACACAGAATTATAGGCATGTTGTGTTCAGGTATAATAAAAGTGTATGAACAAACCACATTTACACAGTGTAATAGCATTGGAAACCTGCATCGTCATTGCACCAGGCTTTCCTGTGGTTGTGACAGTTTCTAAAATGAATCTTCAAAGATATCATATTTTAATCTGTATAGATGTATAGTATTAACATTTTAAATATTAAAATATATTCTCTCTCCTGGTCTCTAGGAGAGTTTCGCCTGAGGGACCCAGCAGACACATCCCAATACAAGTCTGTGCAGAAGTTTACAGATGGCGTCGTCAACCCCTGCCTGGAGTCAACCTTCCGTTTTGTTGAGGAAGTCATCAAAGGTCTGATCAAGCTTCACCAGGAGGTGGCGCCACTGAAGCGTATTCATATTGGTGGAGATGAGGTGCCAGCTGGGGTGTGGGAGGGGTCGCCCGCCTGCAGCGGGAGACAGAGAAAAGAAATCCAGGAGGGTTTTGTGAGGAGAGTGGCCAAAATTGCTGGTAATTATCATAAAATAAATCTTTTCTGAAAACAAATGGCATTTTATGATCATTATCATCTTTATTGGTTCTAGCACTTTTTTACAGAAATGCTTTAGCCTATCAGTTTTTTAAAAAGTGACATTTGTTAGTATAAAAACCTTTACTTACATATATTATACTGCTAGCAAAACACCCCTAACACTGAATACTTTGCCATTTAGCACTGTTTCAAATTGTAACCTGCATGTACATATACAAGTTCTCACTGTGTTGGTTTTATTTGCATACTATACAGATGACAAACACATATATATATATTTTTTTGTTGGTAGATACATGGATGGTGAGGGATTCTGAAAACATAATAACAATTTAGTTCTCATTCCTGACCAGGGGATGTATTACTAGACCTACAGTAGTACCACAGAAATGCCCCTACCTGTCCCCACCACAATAACTGTACTTTATAATAAGTACCACAGAAATACACCTACCTGTCCCCACCACAATAACAGTACTTTATAATAAGTACCACAGAAATACACCTACCTGTCCCCACCACAATAACAGTACTTTATAATGAGGATACACCAGCAGAATATTGAATGTGCAGATATTAATTGCTTTTTAATGCAAAATGTATTTGATATTACACAGAAAAGTGTTGTCAATTTTTCAGCCCTTTAGGCAGGCCAAAGGATGTTACATAAGTATAATTTGGTCATCTTCTTTCCTCTTAATTTGCTTGATTCTACCAGTGCACCACTACCAGATAGGCCAAGCATGATGTAGTACACTGATGATTTCACCAGTGAGTTTCTAATGCAGTAGGAGCTTCTTGTGAAATCAAAGAATAATCTAACAGTATTTGACCTTTCCAGCTGACCTTGACCTTGACATCACCACCTGGGATGATGGCATGCTTCATGAAGAAAAGCCATTTGAGAGGAGCAGCATACCAAACAAACAGCCACGTGTCAATGCCTGGATGAATCCTTGGGAGTGGGGAGCTGCAGGGAGGGGCTATGCCATGGCAAATGCAGGATATGAGGTATTTTATAGACAAGGACACACATGTCAACACTTGAGGAAACCCACTTCCACAGGGCTCTCAAAATTTTGTCTGAGTTTTGGGTGTAGCGCTGTTTTTGTTTCAGCCAATTTCAACTTGGGCTTTTGGCAAACAGTTTTTGTGTGTGTGTGTGTGTGTGTGTGTGTGTGTGTTTTTGTTGTTCAAGAAACAGGCACAAGTAATTGGTATACTTTAAAGGAATACATTGTTGAAAAATGGATTTAAACTTTCATATATGTGTCTAAAAGTCATTTTGATCAATTAAAAAAGTGATTACATTTTATTAGTTTTAACACAGATCTTATACTGGTGTGAATGTAGTTTAAGATACACCTGCATGGTGGCGCTGCAAGGAAGTAGGCTATAGAGTGATGTCAATCACTTTCTGTATCTTCCACTGTTCAGGTCATCATGACCCAGGCCACCCACCTGTACTTTGACCACGCCTACGAGCCAGACCCAGAGGAACGTGGTTTCTACTGGGCAACTCGCTACACAGACACAGAGCGTGTGTTTGGCTTCATGCCTGATGATCTGTGGGCAAACTTAGATAAAGATTTGTGGGGAAACAAATTGACTTTGGAGAAATACTGTAAAGATTTTCAGTGTACCAAACTGGAAAAGCCAGAAAATATAGTAGGTAAGAACAAAGTATTGGTAATAAAGTGGCTGTATTTGGTTGTCATCGACTGTACACTGTTTTCATGACTTGTTATAATTTGGTAAGACATAACTATATCATTTTTTAACAAAGTTGATGAGTTGAACAGTTGCAAAAGTATAATAAATGGAGACTCATAGTGCAGAAAAAACTGAATGGTCCATTGTGGACAGCAGGCTTATCTGCAAACTTTGTACACGCAGTATAGTAGCTGACTTCTTAAAACATTTTACTGAAATGATATTGCAGATGCCAGCGTACATATTTTCATAACTTCTGCCTCTGAAAGTAGACTTCTGAATTTGCACAATAAATATCATGGGTAAAATCTTGGAAGAAAAGTTTGTCACTGTTGTAAAAATTGATTAATATCAAATGTTTTAGATATATATCCTGGAGTTTTAATACAGCTTGGAGTTGACAAAGGCAAAAGCCCAAGCTTTTATTATACAAGTATGAATTATGTAACTATCCCCACACTTGTGACAAATGTTTGGGATCATGTTGTCCTGTCCACCCATCTATAATTTCCACCATGTTCTCCAGGATCAGTAGTATGAGGTTCTTGACACTTTGGGGCCCTATCATCAGAGATAGACATGGCTTCTTGGAATTATGGCTGGATTGGGTGTGTGGGTGGGGCAGGGTGAAGAATTTTGGTGGTGTTGTAATAATGTTGAATATCAATAGTCAAGATCAAAACAGTGACACAGCTATCCATGGTTGTGGAGACCTTTGGATGGCTGGTGAATTAATTTTCTTTTTATGGATCTACAATTTATTTACAAGTTTATTATGAACAAATCTTACATGCAGCAATAATGAACATGTATGTTTTATCTTGAGGAAAAACAACAATAATGCATTACTCTAGCATCCCTGGGGGTGGGCCTGTACCTGGGGATGGATGATCCCTGGGGGGTGGGCCTGTACCTGGGGATGGATGATCCCTGGAAGGTGGGCCACTACCTGGGGATGGATGATCCCTGGGGGGTGGGCCTGTACTTGGGATGGATGATCCCTGGG